TATCTCCTCCCTACCTGCCCACCTACACTCACCTCTACTGGCTCCATCCCCGCCTCTTTGACCAGTCTGTCTTCTGTCCACCTATCTTCTCCTCTATCCATCTTCTGTCCGCCTCCCCCTCCCTATTTATTTCAGAACCCCCTTCCCCTCCCCCATTTCTGAAGAAGGGTCTAGGCCTGAAACGTCAGCCTTCCTGCTCCTCTGATGCTGCTTGGCCTGCTGTGTTCATCCAGCTCTACACCTTGTTATCTCTCAGATTCTCCAGCATCTGCAGTTCCTACTATCTCTGAAAAGATTTTAGCAAGTGTTTGTTTTTAGTAATGGTTAAGAACATTTCTGATGAAGCTTGAAGACACTTTTAAAATTAATAGTTAAAACTATAAATTTGCATGCAAGGACATTTTAAATTCTACGAAGTAATGATTTCATTCTATGAATATTTCTTGCATAACCCCTGCTTAATTTGTCATGAAATAAAATGTAACAAAAACACTGTTGCTTTGTTCACTGGTTTCAAGATGGTACAGTCTCAATTCTTGGAAGCCTACATAATGGAAAATTCTGATTCCCATTAGCAATTTGTCTCGTAGATGCGCATTTACAGCCAATGAAGGAAATTCTATAAGGAAAAGACTTCATTACTGCAGCACACCTCTTTGTCATGCTGGATAAGCACATTGTCTGAAAAGGCTTGTGCTGCAGCTGCTCTCATTTTAACTGGTGCATTCTTTATTTGCTTAATTTTTAGAATCTGCCATCAGGTGCATCACACGTTGGGGCTCTTAAACTTACTTACATCTCAAAGGTAATTAACTAGTTTTTATGGAATTTGTTCGTCTTAACAAATAGAAAATTCAAAATGATAGAGTTTTGAAATGCAGAGAAATTCAAGAAGAAAATCCGGTACATGGGTATGTAATGCAAGATTGTATGTTTGCATCAATAAGGTATTTTAATATCACCAATGTGCTATTTAACACAATAGGAATACTTTAGTGGCTAGTTACAAACGCTCAGATTTTGAATCTACTTTGGGATGTAACCCAGGCTTGGTGTTCTCTCATCTATATTACTTTTCCAACTTGTAACTTTTGTTTTGAAAGTAAGAGTTTCTACATAAGCAAATTTTGATGACAGTGTTGACCTAGATTTAGCAATGGTGGGCAGCGGTCCAATTTATCTGCCTATGAAAAGACTGACCATCTGATATTGAACCTCATCTTACTTTACACAACTTAAAATTGTGTTATCTAATCCTTCCTACTCAATTGGACCACATTGTCAGTTAAACCACGATCTGTTTTCTTTGTGACTTTAAAAACTTCAGTACAAACATAGGACTTAGTTGAAAGTAAGCATTTCAGCCTCAAGTCCATCCACTATTCAGTAAAATTATGGCTAATCTGTGTTTTGAATTCCACATTCCCACCTATTGCCGCTGACCTTTGATTCCCTTGCCTGATCAGAATCTGTCCACCTCTGCCTTAAAAATACACAGTGACACTGACTCTGTTGCCTTCTGTGGCAGAGTACTCTCAACTTGCTGAGGGAAAACATTTCTCTCCTAAAAGGGCAGCACCTAATTTTAAAATTGTTTCCCCGCCAAGCATTCTTTTTATGTCCACCTTTAAGATTATTCAGGATCTTAGACTGAAAACAAGCCCAGTTCTGTCCAACATTTTCACAGAAGACAACCCACTCATTCCAGATATCAAATTTTCTCTGAACCATCTTTAATGCTTTTACATCCTTCCTTAAATAAGGGCGATGGAAACAATGCATACTGTTGGAGACGTGGTCTCACCAATGACCTATAAAAGTGAAGCATAACATCCTCCTTTCTATTTTCATTACCTGTCATATTAAAGAATAGCATTCATTTAGCCTTCTTAGTTGCAGGACCTGCATGTTAACTTCTTTTGACTTGTGCACTTAATCTCATTCTCCATTCAAGTCATACTTTTTTAAAAGTTCTTCCTGTTAAAGTGAACAATTTCACATTTTCTACATTATACTCTGTCAGTCTTTTGTCTACTCTCAGCCTGTACTCACAGCCTATGCTCACAACCTCCTTCAGTCCCCTCCGTGCTTGGCTTTGTGATATCTGCAAATTAAGCTGCCATGATTTCACTGTCCACATCTAACTGTTATAAATTGTAAAACAAAAAATAAGCTGGGCCCCCAGCACAGGCCCCTGTGGCACTCCTCTTGTTTTACCCTGCCAAATGTGGGTGAGGGGGGTGGTGGGTGGACTAAACCTATTTATGCAAACTTTGTTTTCTGCCAGTCAGTCAATCTTCTATTCACACTAGCACGTTATCCTCAGCACCATGTATTTGTACATGTGCAATAATGTCTTATATGGCACCTTGTCAAGAGTCTTCTGAAAGTCAAATATCTATACATCGGTGGGTTTCCCCTTATCCAAAGCGCAAATTATTCCTTTAAAGAATTCTATGAATTTGCTAAACATGATTCCCCTTTCACAAAACCATCCTGATTCTTCCTGATTAGTGAGTTTTTTTTTGAAGTATTCAGCTCTAACCTCCTTTAATGATTAATGCTCAACATCTTCCGAAGACAGGCATCAGCTAACTGCACTGTAGTTTCCTGTCATTTTGTCTCTGTAATTTCTTGAATAGAGGAGCTGTATTTGCTACTTTTCAGTCTTCTATAACCCTTCCAGAATCTCCAATCAGATCACTCTTTAGACTGTGCTTTTTTAAAGTGAAGAGCTCCAGCCCTTAGACTCTCTTGGTAACTAAGATGCTTTATATTGACACTTCATCCAGCAGCCCTCCTTTGCATCCTTTTCAAAAACCTCAATGCCATGCACTACACGGGATGGGCACAGCGTTCCAAGTGAGACCTGTACAAGAACAAAATTCCTTATCATAAATTGCCCCAGTGGGTGTGTCTGAACACCTTAATTGCTTCTGTTTCTTGGCATTGCACTTTAAAGATCTGTAAATTTAAATTTCAATTGGAGTAAAGCTTTGAATTTTTCATTGGGTATTGATATGTTCAAGCCAATAAATAAAACCATTGTGGTATGCTAGCTTCCTATTTCAGTTACTACTCTGATTATTTAACCATTATTGGCCTGTACTGAGCCATTGAAAAATACTATATTTGGTATATTTTGCACAGAATTGTCTGATTTCTCCCATGTGTGACAAACTCCAATTTAAGTGCTTCTTTTTCTATCGTTTTCTTACCTGACTTCTGTGGCATTTGTGTCTTGCTGTTCCGTGAACACCAGTGCATGCTTGTTGAGTGAAACATCTTTAGTTACTTTTTGTTCTAGTTTTTGTTCAGTTTTCTTATTGCAGTCAAATTCCATGCAGCAAGTTATCATAGACAACATCATAAATGAATGATTATATGGTGTGTTTTTGTTTGTTCTGACTGAAACTAAAATTTTTGCTAGACATATGGAAGAAGGCCTTCATCCTTTTCAAATTTGGTATCTTTGACTACTTAAGCAAGCAGATAGGGCTGTACTTCAACATCTCAACTGCTAAGGTAGCATTCCTTGTGTTCTGCACTGAAATGTCAACATGTTGAAGTCTTCATGGACTTTGAAACCATAACTTTCTGGCTTAGACAGATACACTACCAACTGAGTCAAAGAAAGTTATAGAAAGATACATATAGACTGTGTGCCTAATGAATTTCATTTTTGCATGGTTGTAAATTTTCCTTTGTAATTTATAATAAGCAATATCTATCAATGATGTATGTCTACTGGCAATGAGCAGTTATACCTGGAAACAGAAAAGTTCACTATTATGTATAAAGTAGTTTTCTGAATTTCAGCAAATGAACTATGTCATAATATTATATTGTTTTAGATACTTGTTCTGAGGGCATTTTTAATCCAATTTTTTCCCTCCGTTTAATTAGCACTCTTCTTAATTTTTATCAAAATTGCGGAAAGGACAACATGTGCCATATTTTTTGTTTAACTTGATACTTGTAATTTGCTAGGTCAGTGACGCAACAAAGCAGCGGCCAAAAGCAGAGTACTGTTTCGGTAAGTATTTTCTAAAACTGCATTTATTCACTTGAAATGATTATTAGTCAGTGCCACTAATTTAGTTATGTTTCCAATAGTTGTATACACTGTATGGTAGGCACTCTCATTCTGCACTGAAGCATTGCAAAACAGTATTAATTGTAACACCTTATCAGCCTCAAGATATCCCACAGAGTACAAGTTGAATTACTTTCTAAGTATGGTTGCTGTTTAAAGTCAACTCTAATAATAACACTAACTTCGAGTTGGCGATCTATACAGAGGCTTCCAGTACTGGCAATTGCCCATTGGGAATTTCAACTTGCTGGGTGATTTTCATGGAGTTGGTTGTGTTAGGACTTGCATATGAATTCTTCACAGAATCCCAGTTGTGCTTTTCAAAGAGAAATGTATTTGGCCATTGACTAAAGGATTAATAGTTTATTAATGAGTCTAGAATCAGGATTTTGATTTGTATCCTAACAGTCATTAATGCTGGAATGCGAAAGTACTTTCTGCAAGCGAATGATCAGCAGGACTTGGTTGAGTGGGTGAATATACTGAACAAAGCCACCAAGATTACAGTAAGTCAAGCTTGTTGAGGTATCACTGTAATACAGTCACTAAAAGGATAAAAATTGTACTGTTTACAAATTCTATTTTAACCTCAATTTTATTCTTTCATTGGTATCTTAATTTCTGATTATATGAGGAATGTTTTCAAAATTTTATTTTTTATCTATCATTTGCCAGTGTTACTGCTTACGTAAGACATTAATTTTTGGCATAATGTAGCAACAAAATAGCGTGTTATTTAAATACTAATGAGATGATTCATTTGTTTTAACATGTCCTTTGCAGCCTCTGCAATATTCATGTGCAGGTGAGGTGTTTAAAAGACAAATTAGTAATTGAAGGAAAGAAATGTTTTGGGCTATGAGAGACATAAATATAAATGCTAATTGGACACGTATGTACTGCTTTGGTCTTGCTCTAAAATCACTTTTGAAGATGGTTTGACCATTATCATCTGTAAATCTAGGTAATTGGAAGCTCAAAGGATTCCCGATTATATTATTTGCCTGCAAAACTCTGGGAATGGTAATCATGATGCTGAGTGCTATTATGATTTTGGGGATTGATCAGGAGAGTAACAAAAATGTTTCTCATCATTTAATAATTTTAAAATTGATACTTATGCAGGACGATTAAATATGAAATTGCTTCTTGTTCCAATAATCAAATGAAAAATTCACAAATGAACTTAATAAAAAAATTGAATTGCAAATCATTAGCTTGAAAGTTTTATAATTAAAATGAAAAGTGTTCAAGGTGATTAGAGAACAAGCGAAGCCTAAAAACAATAAGTCCAGCTGGATATGAGAAGTAATTAACAACAGAACTTTTGTGTTTTTTAAGGAGAGTAATGTCATTTTCATTCCAGAGTTCAAAATCTGGCAGGTAGTTATCAATTCCAGCTAGGTTATTCAGAAGATGTAAATTATGTAGCTGCTCAGAAAGGTAAAATAAAGTAATTTCAGTTTTTACAAACCCGAGTAGGCAGGTGGGTCCAACATTTTAGTTTACTAGTCAATGTTTATCTTTAGGAAATACCTATCTTTTATCTTTTGCATTTTGCAAGGGTTAGGCAAGTTAGAACACTGTTTTACTTCATCATTTCAGTCCTGCTGAAAGTATTTGGATAAAAGTGGTGATTCTCATTTCACCATGATGAAATACACATCATACATTGGCTGGCTGATATTCTGTTCTTTGTAACATTTAAGTCATTTAACTAGAGTCAAATTATATTTTGTTGAAGTTTGCTTTGTTTCTCTGTTTTTTTAAAAGTGAAGTTCAAGTTTACCTAATTTAAGTAGATGATTAGAAGTGATTAGAACTTAAAGAAGTGGAGAAAATTACCCTGATCAGTTTTATAATACTTATCAATTAGTGTTTGCTAGGAAGGGTCACTGGATCCGAAACGTTAACTCTGATTTTTTTCTTCAAAGATGCTGCCAGACCTGCTGAGCTTTTCCAGTAACATCTAAAAGTCATTTGGACAGGTACATGAATAGGAAAAGTTTTAGAGGGATATGGGCCAAATGCAAGTAAATGGTTCTAGCTTAGTTTGGGAAACTTAGTCAGCATGGACAAGCTGGACCAAAGGGTCTGTTTCCTTTCTGTATGATTCTATAACAAAGGAATGGGATAGTGGAAAGAAAAAGGGAGAGATTTTACTGTGGGTTGATGTGAATAGAATGACCTGCATAGTGCTCATCAGTTTCCCATTCTCTATCTCTGTAAACTTCAGCTTATCCAAAGTTCTGCTCCCTGTATTTTATGCAATCCCAGGTCCTGCCACATTCTACCCTGAAATTGCTAGTGTACACTGGCTTTTGATTTCCCATTTGCTCAAAGTAGACATCAGAAGTATTTAATCAGTGTCCGTGCATTCTATAAAAAACCAAAAGAACTGTGGACACTGTAAATGAGGAACAGAAACAAAGTTGCTGGAAAAGCTCAGCAGGTCTGGCAACATCTGTGATGGTGAAAACAGAGTTAATGTTTCGGGTCCGGTGACCCATCCTCAGAACTGTTCTGTTGACGCGGGCCTTCGTGTAGCCCTACTTTCTTTGCACCATTGGCAAATGCTAACAATCCAGAAAAGTTATGTTCAAGTACCATGATGGAACTTTGAGAAGTTAAATAGGTTTTTAAAGCAAGCTGAGAAATATTTATAAAAACGGCTATGAATTTGTTGGATTTTTGTTGTTCACAAATGTTCTGTGGCATTGGAATTTTACCGCTTCTACCTTTTTCACATCTGTATGTGATCCACCCTGACAGAAATGTTGTTGATTCCTGACTGCCCTTTGAGGTAGCCCACTGTGGAATTTTATTGGGCTTTCATGAAATGCTTTTGTGCTGAATGACAGTTTACATTCAGAATTAATGACAAACAATTTGCAGAAAACCTGTGTTCGTAGCTTGAGCTATTTACTCTGGTATTAGGACGGGTAATGAAATATTGCGCGCATATATATATATAATTTATATATTAATAATTATTCACTTACTCACTGTTGAAAAATGTTCTGAAATATGTTTACATGCTATTTACTTGTGCGAGTTATTTATATTTTCCTGATGATGCCGACTTGCATGCTAATTCAATGACTAGTTGGAAGTTGCATATTTATCTGAAAATATCAAGATTTGTTATTTTTGTGAAATATCTTAATTTAAAGCATGTCAATGCCATTGGCCTTGGATAATCTTGCTGTTAATTTCTTCAGTAGCAGATAAAAATTTGTCGTGTATGAGTCATGCTGCACGTATGTTGCATTGCTGCTTTATTCGTTTTAAAACAGGTTCCAAAACCATCAGATGTTCAAGCGAACGCAGACAACCAAAATTGTCTTACGGAGGGGCCATGTGGAAGGAAGCCGGGGCCATACAAGACCGAAATTATTGGTGGTGTTCCCATTATTACACAGACTAATCAGGTGAAAGACAAAATGATCATACTAATGTAACTATTGAATTATAATAGTCAAGCAAATTTATTTGTGCAACATACCTGTCCAACTTAGAACTGGCTGAAAGTTCAGACTTCGTTTAACTAAAAGTTATGAAAATCATTATGTATAAACATTTGTTAAAAATTCCAGTGTTATGTTTGACTAAAATAATGGTATTCAGAATCTTTGGTTGTAAATGAAATTAATTTTAGTGATTTTAATGTGTGTCGGTCACATCACAACACAAAGCTGATAAAAGGTGTATAAAAGAAATGGCTAATCTACTAAATCTATGCAATGGTGTCATGAGAAATACAAATGTAACATAGATTAAACTTTAAAGGGAGAGTGATCATCTAAATGGAGCGGAGAGAGATTGTTGTGATCCAGTAAAGGAAGAGCTTTATGCAGAATCAATTTTGGTCACACATTTACTTGGTGATTTGACATTTTATATGTTTTATGGATTTAAGTGATTTAACTTTCTAACGCATTGTCTGTGACTTACTGTAGGTGTTGAAACAGCAGTTACATTTGAAGGTGGTTCTCTTTTTACTCTTGGATTGCTACAGTTATGCCTACTATTATCATTCATAAGATTCCGGAAGTGCTCTTACCTCAAACCTTTGCACTTTGTAGCTTGAAAACATGTGGAAGTAAATCTTATTCGGACAGTTATGTCAGTGTCATTGATTTAAAAAAAAAATTGTTCATTTCTAATTTCTTTTTAAGTAGATTTTTCTTATCAACATTATACACCCCCAGCAATTTAAAAAGTTCTGTTCATGTTGTTAACTTCTGACAGAATTATGTATACTAATTATGGTCAGATTAATCTTGGGGTCTAGACTTGGAATTTATTCAAGCTAATCTAGTCTGGAAGGTTGCTTTCAAATGCTGACAAAATGTTAATGTGTTAACTCTGTATAGACATCAAATCACATATACAAATATGACTACCTACTGATAATGTTAGAGCAGATTTTAGTTCTCATTTATTTTGCCTTCAATTACTTTTTCTTCTTTTTTGACAGGAGGGGATGGAATGTCTTGAAGGAATTGAGAAAAATAATTTGAAACGTTCTCAAAGTCAGTTAGCATATTTTATTGGCAAGCCTACATCTGATCAAGCAGTCATTAAAAGTGGTTACTGTGTTAAACAAGGAGCAGTAGTGAGTAACCAGGATTTATTTTGGATATTAAACTCTGTCTGATTGTAGATCATTGCCATATTAGCACATATTCGTGTGATTCTTTTATACTTCAGTTCGGCAGCTTTGCATTTTGCTTCAACTTTAGATCCTTGGGTTCTTGGTGTCTTGGCATGTTTCAGTTAGATTCTATTTAAGAATTAGCTCTATGACTTTATACAAGAAGCCTTTACAGGCAAAGGCTGGAAAGATTTAAACATTCTACAAGCTTTTGTACCCTTTATTCGTAAACGTCACTCCTTTGTACCCTTCAACTTAAACTAGAGGGCATAGATTTAAGATGAGAGGAGAAAGAGGGGCAAGTTTTTGACATAGAATAACACGTGTATGGAATAAGCTGTCTGAGGAAGTGGTAAAGGCAGGTAAAATTCAGGATCTAAAAGGCATTTCGCCATACATGAATAGGAAAGGTATAGAGGGAAATAGGCCAAACACGCAAGCAAATGGGAAAAGTTCAGTTTAGGAAACCTGGTCAGCATGGACGAATTGGATAGAAGGGTCTGTTTCCGTACTATATGACTCTATGACTGTCAGATAATTCTAATGCAGAATGATCATAACTGAAATTAGTATTCAGCTGTTATGACCGAAGCATGCAAACATTAAACAAAGTGTAATTTGAGTGAGTTAAGTAATATATACTCCAAATGTGCAGAATAGAGGTTTATTTACCTGTTTTTAACACTACAGGCAAGTATTTGCATGCAGTTATTCAATACAACAAAGGTGATCTTTTTAACTAAATGATTAATATGACAAAATTTACCTAGGTTGACTGCAATTTGCTAAAATTTGGTTTTATTTTTAATTGTAGTTTTTATCTTTACAGATGAAAAACTGGAAAAGAAGACATTTCATACTAGATGAAAACTCCATAAGTTATTATAAATCTGATCTGGTATGCCGCCTTTAATTTTGAATAATTTACAATCTTCCATCATTATTGGCATAGCTAATAAGTGATGATCACATAATTACAAAATTATGGAATCACTTTCATAACTTTATTGATCAATTCTTACTGATAAAGTTGCAGAAAACCTTGCATCAGGAAACATACAGGCTGATGCAAGTTTGCTTACTTTGTCCACCTTCAGGTTTCAAGATGGCACCTACAATATTTTAGAAGTAATGGTAAGCGCTTTCTCACAGTACGTAGAGGAGTCTTTATTGGTATAAATGTTATTGCTAAAAGAAAAGTAATATAACAGGTTAGTTAAATTCTCATTGGAATTATTAAGTTAATTTTATATTGGCTTTATTTCCCTAGTAAGATGGACCTGAGCTCCTTGGTGTCATGTTAATAATGTTGTCGATCATCCTTAAAACCACTGTTAACCTGTAAGAGAGTATTGAAAACTAAGAAAATGACGTTCTATTTCAATAAGCAAATCCAAATCTACCTTTTAAAAGGCTGTTTTCATAACTGTGCGAATGTATCATGGTACATTTGTCATTCCAACATATTGTGGTTGATTTAACCAAACTTCTGTGTACAGTGCAGTGCAAAATTTCATGCTTCTATTCGCAGCAGCAATCATGAGTACATGAATCTGAATACGTTCAGAGTGCCAGAAAACTTGTTATGGCTCCTACTGGAGGAAAAAAAAATGCCTTTTAAGATAATGGCATATTCCTCTCACTATTCTAAGTGCAGTGTTTCTGGTTAGATGGACTATTAAGGGTTCTTCTTCTGTCCTAACCAGCACTTTATCCCTCAATCAGCAACATAAGAACATGTTATCTTATAGCCTGCATCATATCATTTTTGTGGGATCTTGCTCTATGTAATTTGATGGCTGCATTTCCTATACTACAGTAGCTACTATACTTGAAAGTGTACTGTAAAGCACTTTGGGGCATTGAGGCTATCAAACACAATATATAATCATTGTAATCACAGTAGATACAAGTATAACATAGCTTGAAAAAATACTTTGTAATAAAATCAGAATATTTTGCAACCTGGGGAGATTGTCTGTCTGAACTTATGATAATCTGTTTTCAATTTGTAGCGTGCAGTTGAATTTTCTTTTAAATTTCATCTCGGCAAAGTGCATAGCCTATACTACTCTTGACAGACTGATACAGAACTGTTAGAACATGTTCAACAGTGGAGAAAGAATCATTTCCTCTTTCGAGAACAAATATTTAAACTACTGCTCCAGAGTTTCTTAACCAGTTCAAACCTGTCGAGCTTCTGATGAAATTCACCTAATTTGGTCAGAAATAACAAGCTATATAGTTTTCCATGATAAAATCATTAGTTGGTGCAAAATTTTTATGGAAGCCAACTAATAAATCAATTTAAATTTAATTGTGATGAAAGTCTCTAAATATTTAAATTCTACTTTTCTAAATCTCTCCCTACCTCAGATAGTGATGACATTAAATTTCTGAGTTTAGTATCAGTTTAGAGGAATTCTCAACAGTGAGTATACAGATCAATTGAAATAATTAGCAGCTTCTTTGTTTTCTGATTCATTTACTTTTTTAAGAGTATGCATTACTAATTTGAAAAACAAAGCTGGAACACTGAAGACTGTAACCAAGTTGAATTGTCTGCTGCTTACTGTTGCTAAATTTGGTGACATTACATATGTTCCTCTGAGTGCCCTTGGACTTGTGCAAAACTGTTTAGATAAAGCTGCATATGTATGCAAAAGGAATGGTGGAGTTGGTTCTAATTTTGGTTCTAAGCAAAGTAAATGGTGATCGTAACGTGCCTTTTTCTAGCTGTATAAATTTTGGATACCTGACAGAATTGCAGCTCTGATGTTTCATCACCTATTTCTTGTTACTTGCTACAGAATTTCTTGTGTTATTAGCTTTCTTTCATTTTGCCCCTTGATATCATTATAGGTTAATATTTCATTTACTGGATATATAAATGGAACAGTTTACCATGAAAGTTTGCATAGTCTGTTTACTTGGTGACACTACTTTGCACTATGCATTGAATCAAGAATGCTAATATAACCACTTCCTGGCACATGAAAGTTGTGAAACCCACCTTTTTTTATTACAAATTGAAAATTTGTTGACTGTACGTTAAATTGGAAACTTGAGAAATGATGTAAACATCCTTGTTAGACAGTAATTGCTGCATCTGTAAATAATGTTTGTTTCCTTAAAGTTCTAAAATGTTTGAATGCCTGATTGGGTGGAAGCATGATTTATAAAACAAGTTGTTTTTCTTGCAGGATAAGGAGCCACTTCGGAGTATACCACTTAAAGAAGTTATTAAGGTTCAGGAGTGTAAACAAAGGTTTGTGTTGTTTGTGTTGCCTCTGTTTGATTAATCAGTTGATTATAGCTTATTGATCATTCTTCATTCCATCTCTGTTGCTGGGTCAAAATTCTGGTTTGGATTGGAAGATTTACTTAGGAAAACAATGGGGAATGTAATGGCGCAACCTTTAGGTGGGGTGCTAGGGAATTGGAATTACTGTCTGAAATTTAAATTCACGTTTAAATCTTGTTTTATGCATTTACATGACTTGCATGCTGGAGGGAGCTAGCCAACCAATTTGCCCTATGGGATCAAAATCTAAAATTTCAATTTAAGTATTCAGTGATTGCTTGTTAAAGTTTAACATAGTTGATCTTGTATATAAAAGTTAATGTGACTCTTCAGAAATGAGTTGTGTAGCATATGATGTAATGTTAAATAATCATTAAGTATTATCTCTACTGTAAATGTACACATAGAAATATAGCAGCAGTAGTAGGCCATTCGACCCTCAGAGCCTGCTATGCCATTCATTATGATCATTGCTGATCATCCAAATCAGTACCCTGTTCCTGCTTTTGCCATAACCTTTGATTCCTTTAGTCCCAAAAATTATATGTCTCCTCCTGAAAGACATTCAATACTTTGGCCTCAGCCTATTTCTGTAGCAGAAAACTCCACAGGCTCACCGTTCTGAGTGAAGAAATTTCTCATCATTTCAGTCCTAAATGACTTATCTCGTATCCTTAGTTTGTAACCACTGGTTCTGGACTCCCTGGTCATCAGTTATGTCCTTCCTGCATTTGTCCTGTCTCGTCCTGTTAGAATATTATTTTTCTATGAGATACCCTATATTCTGCTAAACTGCAGTAAATTTATGCCTACCACTTAGATAAAGCAGTGGAGCACACTGCTTATTGAAGAATACAACTAAATACTTTTCATTTGTGTACATGTAGAGACATTGCTACATTATTCAGATTAGACGAAAAACCATAAAGTTAACCAGCAGAGTTGTGATGAAAACAACATGAACTTTTACTCCTTTCCTTTTGACTTCTATGAGAAACCACTACTTCAATTGAAACTGCAACAGAGATTCCGAGTTGGAGACTTGGACACGCATGTTCAGTACTAAGAACCTATAAATCAGTTACATTTTATTTTAAATAAAAGAAGAGGCTGCTGAATTCACCCAGCATGTCCGCCAACATTTGTGGAGAGAGAAACAGAATTAACATTTCAAGTCTGGTATAGATTGTAAGTTCCAGTTTGAATTCTGTATTGAAGTGTAGGTGTAATATGATGGGGCTCTTGTGATGTTGTGGTAGTGTCCCTACTTCTGAGTTAGTGGGCCCAGGTTCAAGTCCCACCCGATCTAGAGATATGAAAGGACATTTCTGTTTTGAAATGTCTATGATGGAAATGTATGCGATTGTAGGTGAATAATAGAAATCTACCTTTGTGTTTTTCTTTCTGTTTGGAGAATATTTCAACCATTCTTCATTGTCCAACCTTCATGTGGAAATTACTGGCAGAGAAAACACAACCACACGATGCCTGATTAGTGCAACAATGTTTTTGATCTTCATTCAGTTCACTCTTGTGCGAGGCCTTGCTTGGAAGTAAATCCTAATTCTTCTGTCATTGATAGTCTTAATTTTTTAATTCAAATTCCACCCCCACCCCACACAAATTTTTTTTCCTAAGCAAATCCATATGTTATTGTACAATAATCCAATGCAATTTTAACATTTTACTTAAAATGGAATGGATATTTTTGATTGCCTAGAAGCCTTGATATTCTTGCTTCTTAATATTGCATGAATTTGAGGTGTGATGCTATATAAGGGTGTTATTCATTTCATTCAGTCAGTGTTGATGTGCAAGTATTGGTCTCAAGTTTTATTTTTCAGTTATAGACATCTCAGTTTCTAGCATAAGACTAACTTCACATCTGACATAGAGTTAAGTGCAAGCTGGAATATTCCAAGAAAGATTTAAGGCAATGCACTAACTGCACTGTTTTCTTTAGTTGATGACCAGAGATTTACATACCTCTGATAACTGTGAAGTAGTGTGGATGCTGAAAATCTGAAGTAACACCGAAGTGCTGGAAATACCTAGCTGGTCTAGTAGCACCTGTGGTGAGAGAGACAGTTAACATTTCATGTCAAATGTACCTGTTCAGAATTGAAGGAAAGTCGAAATATGATGTGTTTATCCTGCTGAAAAGGTGAAGAGGCAGGATGAGCACTTGAACATTAAGGAAGGTGTGGGATGTAGAGGCAGGAGAATTAATGACTAAGATATCATGGAACAAAAGGCAATGGGAATGATAATGATTGTAGTAAAGAAGCAGTGCACTTTGACAAGAGTATGAGTAGTAGCATAATGAACACCTCTGTCTGAAAACACAAATGTGTTTTTAAAAGAAATTCAGGCTAGAATGTTGGCAAAAATGAAAAATCAAAATTTAGACCAGCTCATAGCAATAAAACTGAATCAAAATGGAGGGTGGAGTTCATGGTCTGAAGTTGTTGAACTCAGCATTGAGTCCAGAAGGCTGTAAAGTGCTTAATTGGAAGGTGAAATACTATTTCTTGAGTTTCACTGGAACATGCAGCACAGCAGGATCAGAAATGTGAGCATGAAAGCAAGAAGGTGAATTAAAATGGCAAGTAACCACATGTTGGGGTTATTTTTTGCAGAGTGAATAGTGATGGTGTGTAAAGCAATCACCAACTCTGCGTTTGTGTCCAATATACAGCTAAAAGGGTCTTGAATACCAAAACTGGTAATCTGAATTGGAGAAGTGCAAATAAATTGCTGCTTCTTCTGGAAGGAGTATTGGGGCCTTGCACAGTGAGGGAGTGTAGTGTTACACCTCTTGCAATTATATGGAAAGGGATGAGATGTTGTGGTTGATATTCCCAACTCAGAATAACCCACTCAGAGATAGTAAGAACTGCCAATGCTGGAGTCAAAGATAAGTGTGTAGCTGAAGGAACAGAGCAGGCCAGGCAGCATCAGAGGAGCAGGAAAGCTGACGTTTCAGGTCAGGACCCTTCAGAACTGGGCTGAAGAATGGCCGTTTCTGAAGAAGGGTCCTGACCCGAAACGTCGGCTTTCCTGCTCTGATGCTACCTGGTCTGCTGTGTTCCTCCCGCTGTTATTTCAGAATAACCCACTTGTATTTTTCTAAAATCCATGAACAGTATTGTCCTGATGGGCTCATTGTTTCAGTCTGTGTCTGTCTCACTGAACAAATTTCTGCCTACCTTGATCCTAGTTCTTTCTCACCTTGTCCAGTCCCTTGTGTGGTCTATTGTGACTCTTCTGACGCTGTTATTTCAACTGTTTCCTAAATGCTGCCTCTTGACTGTGGATCTTCAGTCACACTACACCTCCAACCCCCACCAGGACAGTCTCCAGTCTGTTATGAGACATGCCTTTAAGAAGGATTTGTTCTGTCATGTTTCTTTTGAAAGGAAGTGTTGTAAACTTTGAACTAAACTGTTTGCTGAGCCCAGCAATGTAACTAGCTTTGTTTCTGTTTGAAAGCAGACAAAAGAAGCATGAATGGGTGGAGTCAAGAATACAGACCCAGGGTTTGCACTTTTCAGTTGAAAATAGAATTTTGAAAGAAGCCACATCTCTCTCTGTGCAAAAGCTGATGTTCTGTCCTTGTTGCTGGATTTATATTTTTAAGTTTTCCTGTCTACTTGCCTTTGCCAAAGTTGTTTATTCGCTGCTGCTACATTGGATCACTTAATTAGTAGTGGTTAAATGATATACTATTTTGTTAAGTATTTCAATAGAGTTACAGTTAAGCCATTTTTTAAAATATTGTCTGTCTGTATTTTAACTGTAGTGAAAGAAATAGCATGTTTTGCTTAAAGCTGAGTAGTTTGACCAATTGAATTGTACCTGGGACACCATGTCTGGCACTTGCCTTTTAAAAAATGAAATAGTTAGAGTCTAGGCTATCTTCTTGAGGGGGTTTGGTCTGGTCCATAACAGGTCTTTTCAATTTCACCTTGAACAAAGGTCCAACCAACATCTGTCAACCAGCACCCTCCATCGCCTGGCTGAACTTGTTCTGTCACAGACAAATTGATTGAAGAGAAATTGTTCATAATCCCTTCATATAAAAGATGTTGCTTTGGATACTAGTTACACCTGTCTTTTTGTGGATTATGGAGCATCCTTTTTTTCAGGCACCCTCCTCTAACTCATTTTCCAGTATATTGATAATTTGGTCTCCTCTAATATGCGGAGACCAAATGCAAACATGTCACTGCTTTGCAGAATTCCTCCACTCAAATTTCAGTCCCCTGGCTGCTGCAGTGTCCCAGTGACACTCCATGCAAACTTGAAGAGCCAGACTATTTTGATTTTTCTTTGCTGTGCTGGCCTGAATCTTGTGTTTTGTTTTTTGTTTTTTGTTTTTTCTTTCAACAGAGCTGTTCATTATCCTGCCATTCGTACCCTCTCTCTGGACAAATATGTTTATTCTTATCGATAGTTATTACCATCTCTTTGCTTTTAGTTCCATGACATGGTTTGATTTAGTCTTTTCAGCCCTCTATCCTACTCCAAATGTTCACTTTCGTTCTTGCTGCACCTCCCCATGCCCCATCCCTAACACCCATCAAATTTCTTTCTTGCTTCAGTTCTGGCTCAGGGATACATTCCATTTGAAACATTCACTGTTTCTCTCTCCATAGCTGCTGCTAGACCTGAGTATTTAAATCAGTTTGGTTTTATTTTGTATTCCACCAGTGTTTGCTTCATCTAATTATGTGTACAGGTTTAGCAAGTGAAAAGCCAATATGAGGTCACCTCAGAGCTGCTATAAATTGATCAGATTTAATTCACTGAATTTAAAATGTGTTTTTACGCTTAAAAATATATTGCGGGGCAGTAGGATGATGTGGGTTTTGTATGAATTTCTTAATTGCAATTGCTGTCAGAACTAGCGAAGCTGGGTACTTTGGACATTTTGCCTCAAAGAGAAGGTAGTAATGAGTCATCTTGTGCATCAGCTGATGTTGGTAAGTGTATGAGAATAGGCCAATTTGACTGTCTTTTCATCTAAATGATATAGATAGAAAAATAATACTTGATCACTTAAAACAATATTTTTCCGTTACAGAGAAATCCTGTTGCGTGACAACTTGTTTGAGATAGTTACTAATTTTAGAACATTTTACGTCCAGGTAAGTAAGTGATTACTCGCATTGCGTAAAAGTTAAAAATAAAATATTTCTTTTTGTATGAATATAAAGTTTGCTTAAACATGTTTCAGGTGAAAGTAAAATATAATTTTGGGGGGAAAAAAACACATTATCATAAGGTGAAACTGTAATCTAAAGCTGCATGTAATATTACCTGACTTTATTACTTCAAGAAGAGAATTAATAATGACACAGAAAAATGTTTGTTAATTTGGAAGACCCAGCATGGATTTGTAAAGGAAAAATTGTTTCTAACAAGATGGAGGTTATTGAAGAGGTAACAGCAAGGGTTGATGAGAATAAAGCAGTTGATGTGGTGTACACGGACTTCTAAAAGATGTTTGATACACTGCTCTTGTGAGAGCAGTTATTGGCTTTGGGATAAGAAAGGACCATCGCAACATGAGGGTTCAGAAGAGATTTCCCAGGATGTTGCTGGGAATGGAAGGTTGAATTATAAGGATAGGCTGGAACTCTCTTTTTTTTCACTCGAGTGTAGGAAGTTGAGAAGTGCCCTTAGAGGTTTAAAAGAGATTTAGTTAAGTACATGGGATATGGGCCAAGTGCAGGCAGATGGGATTAGTTTAGTTTGGGATTTTGGTCGGCGTGCACTGGTTAGACCAAAAGGCCTTTTTCTGAGCTGTATTTACTCTGACTCTAAGACTATTAATTAACTGCAGGTTTTGAATACTGTTTTTAAGTTTTTAACAGCTTTCACATATATAGAATATACATTGAAGCTCATTATCTAGTTTGTGTTTTGAGACCACACAACACGGTGCTGGCTGTACCCATTCCAGCATTACATCCACCAATCATTAGTTATTCCAGCAACAATTTTCTACATTCAAGATCCTTTCTCCACCACTTTATTGTGATGCATTTTCTGTCTGTTGATCCAAAAATCTGGAAGATTAACTGGTTCTTCTGAACAGTTATATCCATTGAATGTTTTAAAACTGAAACATTACACAAATGGGAACTTTTATTTTGTTTTGCTAAGTAATCTTAGTGAATATATGTGCAATGATGCAATCACTGAATTGTTTGACTTCTACCATAGCCTCTACATGATCATGATCATGACCATGTACCTAACCTTAGACTGAAGGTGCTAAATCTTCAGACCTGTTCTTTCAGGACATATTCATTAAAAGATACAATGAATGCCATATTCGTCTTCAAATCATGTTTTTATGGTATTTTGGAAGTTGAGGAAAATTATGTTCAGAGTGATTATAATAAAAGCAAAATACTGTAAATGACAGATCTTAATAAAACAAAAATTGCTGGAGAAAACTGTCAGATCTGGCAGTATCTGTGGCAAGAGAAACATACTGACTGATTATACTGATATGCCCCAGGCAGTGCAGTGGGGCCTTGTGCTCATATTCACTATTAGTCATTGACCCACAGACTTAGGCTTTTCCGATTAATGTACATACAGATGGGACCCAGGAAAACTTTTAAATCTGAATTGCTAATGTAGTTAGAATTGGAATAAAAACAGAAAATGCTCTAGAAACTCAGCAGATCTGGTAGCATCCATGAAGAGAGGAACAGTTGATGTTTGAGTTTGATGTAGCTCTTGCATAACAGAGTTGGATTTGTAATAGCTCTGTTATTTTTATAAGAAAGGACTGGGCATTTAGTTACATTTAGGCATGGTAAATATATTTGGCCAATATGATCAGTTTCAACAGCTGATAATGTAATTACCCATTACGCAGCTGAGCAAAACCAGATTTTTTCATTTCCGTCAACAGAAGATCCTGTAGCTCTTACTGTGCCATTTGAAGAAGCAATTTTTCAGACTCTGCTCCCTTCCATCACCCCAAGACAATCTATGCCATGAGAGTAGCAAGAAACAGACCATGACGTACAAGTTTTTATTGCTTACTAAGTTCACCCCCAAACTATTATTTTTTGCAGTTCAATATAATGTAATGAGTTTGAGCCATTTCAGTTTAGTGCGAATTGCTCACATAGTAGTCTGAACATTTTACATCTGTGGGAATTCATAGTACACACTATGAATTTGTTTGACAGTTTATCCTGGGTTTTTGACTTTCCTATTTGTATTTCTTCAGCTTCTCCAAAGGTAGAGTCCAAAGCTAGGTGAGATGATGCAATTCACAGCTTTATTTAAAAGGAAGATAAATATACAGAGCAGTAGTTTATGATTAGCTTCATTTCATTACAAAATAATTAAGAACTGCATTTTTGGCATCATAGGGTGATCTTAATTGAAACGAGGTAACTTTTGACTGTTCTCCATTGCACTCCAACTTTCCTGCAATCTTTATAACCTGACAGCCGTTCAGTATTCCATTTCAGAAATTTCCCTACCATGTTACTTGCCATTTAGCATCAGAAAAGGGCTGATAGCGTTGTCATGGAATTGGTACGAGGTACTTTTAATTTATTCTGGCAGTCTTAATCAGTTGCTTTTACAGTCTGAGAAACATCACTGCTAGTGAACATCTTGCTCACTTAGAACTCTCTTTTATTTTGTAAAGCAGGCTGCTAAAACCTTTATTCCTAACCCTTCCTGGATATATACTTAAATTATCCTGAAATGTGGTAATACCCAAATACCTTAGCTGGGACTGTTTGTACATTATATCTGGCTTTCAGCTAATAATTTACTAAAATTGGAAAACTTCCATTTAATAGCTAAGGCCAGTGTGTGTCACTGGATAATTAACCCTGAATACAAGCATAATGTAGTCTCTAGTTTGGAAGCAAATGCCAGCTATTGAATGGTTTATGTTGGTTAAATCGTGAACGTGCAGTGTGGTATTCTGCTCACAATACAGTATAAATGCGTACATTTTTTGCTTAAAGTCTGTTGTGATTCTCATTTTTTTAGACTGACAGTCCTGAAGATATGCACAACTGGATCAAGGCAATATCTGGGGCAATAGTGGCACAGCGAGGCCCTGGAAGATCAGCTTCTGTATGTCTTTATATTATTTTGCGCAGATGCTTGCAATCTCTAACATTACAAGATAACAATCACGCACATGAACGATATAAATTTTTATATAGTGAATGATAGAAAAATTAACTTCAAGGTGGCTTTCCTTAATCTTCTCTGTCCAAACCCCCCGCCCAGTAGTTATTAGAAACATTTCTTCGTTTCTATTATACCTAGTTCTATTTATCAATAATATGTAGCGTTCTTTTTCTGTACTTTCTGATTCATTGCATCCTTTATCTTTCTTTATGTAATAAATTAAAAATTTCTAATCAGACATATTAAAATAAACAAAAATTAGATGCTCACAGGAGGATGTGATTGCTAGTAAAATAAAAATTTGTGTAAAATGGAAAATGCAAGACATAAGAATGGCTAGAGAAAGTTTGAATGTGAGTTTACTTTATGCCAGGGGCGTTTTTACTAATATCTTAAATAGTGGCTTCTGTCACATGGACACATCAAACGTAACTGTGATTGAGTGTGTTTGTTCTAGCATGCGTTATATCTTCCAAACTGGCAGCGTCAGTTTACACAAGTTTAACATTGAATGTTGTGCCAGAAAAGCTCAAGTGGTTGAAGTTGCTTTTGCAAGTTTGTTTTCTACAAACAAACTATGCTGCACATGGATTACAGTATTTCTTCCTATTATTTCTTTATTCAAGGTAGCTTTCCTGGTTTTACTTTCCCCTCGAGATTACACAGTCATAAGTCTCTATTGTTTCCAGATTCTAAAAGAAATACTACAATGTAAAAAAAAGTGCAAAACGTAAAAAATACTATTAGATTAATTGTGAAAATTTACAAGTTTGCAACTCGGAAATATGTTGATTTGATTGGCTTTCAAAGATATATCTTAATATGCAAGTCTATGACTGTGTTTTCTACTATCTCTCTGCTCTCTTTATGTGAGTTTAGGGTACTCTAATCTGAGCTTTGCACTGTGTTCTTCCAGATGCGGCAAGCCAGAAGGCTGTCGAATCCTTGTATACAGAGGTATACATCAAGAACTGGTGAATGCAGCACGTATGTGAGCTCTCATGTAAAGCAAGTCTTTTTAAGGAGGATTAGAATCTAGTAATTGATGAATGTGCTTGAAGCAATTTTGTCTTGTGGCTGACATAAAATAGTGAACATTCAAACCATTCATTCAGTTGCTGATTAATGATAAGAAATTTAAACTAATACTTTTATCCACTTTCTCCTTACTTCTGCCAATTAATTAAAACATTTCTTGATGATTTTAAATCCAGGTAATTCACTTCTTTTATGGTGATTCATTCCGAGCATGTGCCACAAGTAGAATTAGGAATATGCCATCAAATTTAAGTAGAAACTCATAATATTATAGTCTTGTGGGCAAGCAAAGCTGTACTACCACATAGTTATAGGGTTGGTAATATGACTACAGTTCATTTCAGTGTACTGACGGGAGCCCTATACAGAGCTCTGTGTAATGGAAGAGTGTTCCATCCAATAAAAAAGGGGGGAGAAAAACTAGAAAAATATAATCTGAACTTTTTTTATGATGTAATGCCTTTGTGACTTAGCAATGTTTGTGTGTAGGTGCAGTAATCACGACGGAGGGGAGATGTTAAATGATAGAGAAATATAGAAAAAAGAAAACCATTCTATAGTTTGCAAGTTAAAACAAATTTATCAAAGTGAGCAGCCGTTAAAAACTATCCACAATTGGTTGTTTGAGCTCCTTCACAATATTTATAGAATCAAACAAAAATGATAGTCCTCTTTATTGGAACACCACAATCTTCAAGAAAAAAGCTTCAGATATTCCTTCACCTGTAATCCTCCATGGTGTGTTGCCATTTTGATTAATTTGCATGAGAGTTCATATTTCCTCATTTTTATTTATGGCACAGCTGATCTTTTACCTTTGCAATAGCACAGGCCATATATTAATGCTTTGTTAACAATCCTTGTAACAAATTGATTACTGACCTTAAGTACTATTTATATTCTTGTCTTTGCATGTTAAATGTGTTCTGGGATGTATGAATTTGAGGCATGAGATCATTGTGGTGGAACTGCATTGCATGAGCATACTTCTGTGTGATTGTATATGTGTGAAATGTAAAATCTTTATATATAAGAAGGCATAAATTTGACTTCTACTTTGTGTAGAATTTTTGTTTGGTTAGATCTGCCTATTTTGTTTGATTCAGATGCTTATTTCAGGAGAGTGTGTAGTACAACTTGATTTTTCTGAGTTTAGTTTTTCTGAGTTTATTCATTTAATGTGCAAAATATTTGATTTGTTTTTGTTTCCATTTCTCAGCTGTCTGACATTGTTGCATCAGACTTCAGGATAGTGACAGGGCAATTTAACAGTTAATATTTAACAGATCCAAAGACCATTACGTACATTGTAATACATACTGTGAAGACTCTTCATGCCACTTTCACTAAATTTTTGCATGCTTTATGAATTGTTTGAAACAAATTTTGCAGAAATGGTACACATGTGCTTTATGAAAATAGTCTCAAAATAGACAAGAACAAAGGTGTCTTTTTGTGGTCTAAAGGAAGGCCCTAAGTGCGTTTTGTTTTCCTGCTAGAATTAGCTTTTACTTTTTAAAATAGTTGACATAGTTGAACGAGATTTTGTAATCTTCATTCTTGATGTATATAATTTAGTGCAAATATGGTAATTTAGATGGGTGTATTTTTCTGAATGTTGGTTCTGATATTTTACCAAAACACCCAGTTAGTAGATGTGTTTTTTAGAGCATAGTCTGCAAAGGCAAGTTTTATTTTTAAAAAAATTAGCTGCTTAAGGTTTTCTTTGCTTTATCTGATCAACATATTAATTAGGCGATTTCTGGGTGAATTGATGTTGCACTATTTTCGATTTCCTTAGCGTATTGATTCATCAGTCTGTTTTGAATTTGAAACTATCTTTCTTTTGCTTGTTTTTTTGAATACTTGCATAGGATTTATGCATTTTAGTAATTGATGATTTGCAAAAATTTTTAAATACAAGAGATGTTTAACTGTTTGTGTGTGTATTTGTGAATGTGTGGTTGGCATTTACATAATAGTTAAATATATTCTGATATATATTTTAGTGTAATTGCCATTACCCACAAGTGTCTCGTGAACTGTAATTTTTTTTCCTCTGTGCTTGGGACTAAAGTATTTTACGTTCATAGTTTTAGTGCTTATATAAACAATTAATAGTCAGTAATGGATCACAGATACTAGAGTTTCATCTGTGCCTGTCAACCTGGTATGATAAGATTCATCAAAATGAATCCTCTTAAATAAAGAGGCAATTTAGCTGAATTCCTGTGAAATGCATACACCATTGATTTATAGAAAGTAACAAAGACATTAGGCTGATATCACTTCAAATTTGCCTTGATACTTGAGTAAAATATTTTAAATATCAATCAGATTCTCAACATCTATGTCCAGAACAACACGTGTATTTCAGGAGATATTTTGGATAATAAAATGTACTTGGAGAAGGTTGTTTTTTAAAGAAAACACTCAGAACCCCAAGCATAAATGATACATGAACTGAGTTCATGAATGAGTAAATATGAAAATTAAACTTTTGTTTATTCAGAAAGTTTTAACTGCAACAGTTGTAAAATGTACCTCAGTTAGCTTGTTACTTGATATCAAGCAATTAAGTTGCATCTAAATAGTCTCAGTTTGCTGTAACCCATCCAAATGAATTTTAGTACTCTATATTGCTTTTGAATAATTTACTTCAGCATTGTTCTGAGCCATGTGCGTCGATAATCAAGCATTCCTGTCTTTGGTGTATTATTTATCAGATTCATTCATGGTTGTTGAATTCATGAGTTGATTTTTCATGCTAGTCTACTTTGGATCTTGCATCTTGGACTGTTCCTTGAAACATGCTCCCCTGATCCCCAGAGAATGCTTTTACATGCTTAGATATTTTGGCAATTTGAAGTATGCCCAGGAGTCATACAAAGTTTACTGATCTTTATTATTTGTTTTCAAATCCCTTCCTTGTTCGAGAAGGTTGAATGTAACTTGAGATTCCGTTGCTCAGCAAATTGTTAAAGATCCCCAGAGAATGAATGCCCAATGACTAACTGAAGTGAATTACATGACAAAATTTATTATTTTAAGACTTGTCATCAGAACCAACTAACAACAATACTTAGTAGGCAACTAATACTGCAGGAAAGATATTCCCAACTGAAAACCTCTCCCCATCCATATTTCACTGTTTACTATCTGCAGAATTGGAGTTTTTACAGAAGGTAGTAGAACATTACTCCCAGTTTCCAATGTGATCACAATTTTTGATTTTGCTGAGCTGTCATGTCGATTGATCATCAATTACCTCAATTACCAGAAAATTCCTGAACTGACTAAGCCCACCATTCTCACCACTATCCCCCTACATTGCAAGGCATCCAAGCACACCAATCTCTCCAGATTCCCATGACAATCTAAGCAATCATTTCTTTGACCAGAAGCTGTCTTTCCTCCTGCATTTCTGCTTGGTAGATCCCAGAGAACACTAGACCTTTTATCTGTCTCTAAATCTTCTCTTTCAGCACAAAGTCTTGAAAACAAAGTCTGCCTATTTGCTCTTTCTTTTGTTTTCACAATGAGTACATTCTCTGGCTCAGCAACACTTGGACCTCCGGATACCCATAGTAACCAAGTCTTGTAGCCAGGTGGAACAGATCTCCAATTCTCTAAGCATTGGCCTTTTCATTTTTAATGTGTATTAATTACTACCAATCAAATTCACTGACACAAAATTAGCTGTTACAAATATCACGTTATTTGATACTAGAAATTTCAACAGTTTAAATTTTTTAAAGTTTTTCATTGTTTTATTTCCCCATTTTCTCTCAATTAGCCCTCCTCTCCTTCAAGTATTTGATTTTCCATTCAATGCACCATTCTTCTTTCTGAGTCCTTGTACTATCAATTTCACAATCAACGCTGTATGTGGCTGAAGCAAATGTTTTTCTTTTCATTAATATTGCAAGCAAATTACTTAATTTAAAAACAAAAAGGAATGAACTTGCACAATTTAATCGGTTAATAAATTTATTGTCCTGTTGACTTGGGACTCAGATACCCACTTTGCCTCGACTTGCACTTGCTGCAACTTGTCCAAAAGTAAATAAAATACTAAGTCTGACTAACAGTGAACCCTGTTAGTTTCATTCCTGTGTGAATTTTGGCCCATTATTCTTGTATAACAATTTATTTTATCCCTCCTCAACTACAGAAGTCCAAATGAGGAAAGGTCACCGGACCCAAAACGTTAACTCAGATTTCTTTTCAGAGATGCTGCCAGACCTGCTGAGCTTTTCCAGCAATTTCTGTTTTTGTTTCTGACTTTCTTTTGAAGGTTCAATTAAACAAACGGGCTCCATTCTTAAGTCTATTCATAAGTCAATTTATACGCAAGTCAGATCTTTAAAATTAGTATTAACGCATTGCTGTTGGGATTGCATTTGTAAATAAGACTGTTCACAATCAGGGACCCCTCCCATATTAAATTCAGTGACGTGCCTCTGAATATCCGACAAACAAGAAAATAGTTTGAAAATAATGATTAGTGATAATAAAACAGCTATTGTAACAAAATTAACTAAAGATTTTATTTTCACTGAATGAAACATTTCATCCTTTTGTCCCTTTTATGCATGACAGTAAAAATCAATACCAGATTACAGAAAATGTGTATTTTTGATTTGGTTACATTTTGCACAAATTTTGAGAAATCTCTGAACCATTTTGACGGGTCAGGTGAAAGGTGTGAATCGCATGGTATGCCACTAATTTTACAAAATTAGTAACCCTGTTCAACAGAAATTTGGGGGATCCTGGCTTTTTAGACAGTCAATCGATGACTTTATTTTAGCATATACAACTCTGTGTACCCTCTGGCTTATTCTTTCACTTGCGTTACAGGCACTGGTCCTCTCTCTTGCTGGCTAAAATGCTTTGCTTCTCCTTTTTACAGCACATATGCTTCCTAACATCTTTGCTGATGCTTTGCTTTGTGGTTTTTTTTTCTGCTTTTGTTTTACAGAGAGTAAAATCTGACTCTGAAATACTGACATGCCACTAATGACCTTGTGTTGACCAACAATCCTCTTTACAGGAGCCTTCTGACAATTCCACAACAGAATCCTGTACTGTCTCATCTTCCTCAAAAACACCAGCCAGCTATAATCCCCTCGTTGCCTCCGCCAGCAGCACTGCAGACCACAATCCCCAACATAACGAGGAGAAGCGAGGACTTCACAAGTCTTCTACCATGGCTCAGCCAGGGCAGCACAAGATCCCGATTGTCTCTACCCGAAAACCAGCTGCCAAAATGATAAAGGAAGACTCAGTCCTTCAAGGTAAAAATGGCATGCCGGAAAGTTATTCTGCTCCATTGGATCTGGATGATGTCAGTCTTCCTGTCAGTGACATTTAAAGGTAGAACTTGAAGGTAAAAGCGCTGTCATCCAAATCTGTTTGTTTGAGATCTCTAATGGGAGTAGATCAGACAGGAAGAGAATTATCTTCTTCTCGCATTCAAAACTTTGCTTCTAAATTCACCTCATTAGTCTGCGTAGTGAAGTTCATCTGCTGACCTCTCTCTAGCAGATTCCATAATGTGGCATTTATGGATATGAATCGATTTAGTATTCAGTTATCTGCCTACTTTTTCAAAAAACAACTTTGTTTGTGCCTAAAGAACAGTGTGGTGTACCATTGTGGTCCCAAAGATATTGCACCTTGTCACTAAATGTACAGGTTAGTCTTTTATATTTTCAGAACAATAAGAGTTTCCTTGTGAAAATATTAAACTTTGCTTTGCTCAGCATTGACAGCTTCAGGTTGTACTGTGTATGATCCTTCTCTTGTGGCCTGTATGTGTCTTAATGCACCAAAATCCCATACTGCTTAAAGTGCCTGTCTTTAATCTCTGGATACAGGTTGTTTATGTATCAATATTTGATCTATATTGTATAATGTTACATTTTTAATTTCTTGAGCTTTTAACCTTTTGAATTCTCAATTACTGGAGGAAGTAGTAAATGTAATTGTTTTGATATAATTCAAGTTTAAACTATTAGAATATTATGGATCTTTTAATGGTTTCCTGTGCAATATATATTTCACTAATTGTGAACTGCAGAAGTTACTGGAGGGTTTTGATAATGTCACTGTGTGTAATCAGAACCTTAAATCTTGAGATTTTTAACTATACATAATTATGTACACAGGATAAATATGCAGATGCATTTCTCAAATATGTGTCCACCAAATATATTTCGGCTCATTTGGGCATGAGATTTTCCCTCCCTTTGAGAACGCCCATCTTAATTGGTGAAAGCTTTGAAGTGAAACTTGAATAGCTGTAAAGTCTTGAAAGGACTCTTTGGTCTGAATATGAATGTAGAGGGGACCATTATACAAGGGTTGAGTCCATAATAATAATTTTAATTTATGGTGAAAATGCCATGTTATTTGTAGAGATGAAATACACTGCATCTGCTCAATCCTATTTTATTAGTATGTATAGAAATTTCACACTTACTAAACCTGTAGTATTTCTGCAGTTTGTACCTTATAGGATATACTTATTTTCCATCAAAATATTTGGTTTAAAGTATTTATTTCACAAATAGTGTATCCATATTCATACCTTTTAAAAGTTGGCATTAATTTTCATTATTCTGTATGGAAAATTAGCTTTGTTTATGTACTTCATTCCCCTAAATATGCCATCTGTTTCTTACCTGTCTTTTTTGTGCCTAATATAAATGAGCAATCTGTTCAGGAATTAATTGATGTAACCCCTGTCCTTTTAAATAGCACAGCTGAATCCTTTGCATGGTCCTCCAATGACTTATCCCAGTGCACTTATGTAAAAATAGTTTGTCAAGAATTTGGGGTCATTATTGTTGCAATGTGTTGAGGCTTGGGTGCTGAAATGTGATTATTTTCTAATTTGCCTTCCACTACCACCACTTCCTGTGATGAGCAGGCAGAGTCTTGGATACCCAGGCTGAGCTAAGAAACGTTATTTTTTAGGAATCCAGCTTGAAACTTGTTGGGAAGGTGGCAAACCTGGTGGAAGGTTGACTAACTGTAACTTTAAAAATGATGAAAATTTGTGGAGGGTACTTTTTAATGTTGCTCTTGAAAATGAGACATTGTTGGACCTTCTCCTGCAATGTTCTTTTACATCAATCACATAATTTTCTAGTGTATTTTGATAAATAATGGTAGCTTTAATAATTTTAATACTACAATTGGCTGCAATTTAGTTACTATAGTTTTTAAACAAAGTAAGTAATAGAACTAAATTGTTTGAAAGATATGTCTAAAGAGTAATTGATAGTGGAGGATCTCTATACATTTAGATTTTTCCTAATTCAAAGAGTTGGCTTAATTGTTTTGATAACTGTGATGTTATGACACTTGAGGAAAAACAAAGTACTGACATGGATAGTTTCAAATGCAGCAGCTTTATTTTGTTTTTTGTCTTGGGTTTTTTTATTCAAACATGCCTTAGTTTTGAGTTTGCTCATCCTTAAGTTTGTTTTGCCAAAATAAAATGCATTTTATGTTGGGCTTTGGCTTGATTTAGTTTTGTCTCTATACCAGTTAAAAATATTTTCTGTTAATGGTCAGTTGAAGTTTGTGTTGCAGAATAAAAAAGTCTCAACTGCTTGCCTGTATAATTGTTTTGTCAAAAAGAGTCATCAAAACTTGTAGCACTGTTAAAATTTCACAAATGACATTCTTTTTAAACTGAGAACGGGTGTGCTTCTGACATTACATTTTGAATACACTAAAGATGCTTTCTCCTATGTGTTTTCACTGTGATACTGAAAAATAAGTAGTTTTAAACCCCAATTTTTCCACCAAAAAGGAATAACTCAATTGAAAAATATAGATACGTGATTTCTTAGCTGAGTTTCTTTTTTCCACGTTAGGAAATGTACTGTGTATGACTCAAAATATTTGAAAAACCTGTGGGAGAAATTACCTGTCAAACCTGTAAAATCTTGATATATTTAGTTCAATATTTTATTTTTGTAATTGTAAATTTGCTAAGCTTATTGGCACAGGTACCGCTTCTGAAATCGCATGTGCTACTGCTGTTTATTGAAAATATTCTTTGCAAATATATGAATTGGGTGAAAGCCTTGATTTACATTTACACTATTGTGGGGGACTATATTTAACTACTGGTGAACTGAAAATATCTAAATTGTTGAGTTGAAAAAATGTGTATTAGTCTGCTAACAGAAGCTTTTATTTATCTTTGCTGAACTTTTTATATAATTCTATAAAAATGTTTAAATTATTTTTGACGGTTATGTATGGTTTGACCTGAATGATGTTTGTTCATCTAAGACAATAAAGAACCATGTGATGATTTTTATATCTTTGCTGCCTTTCTCAATCAGATGTTTGGAAGTACTCCACAATTAAGCATTCTTTGTGCACATCAACCCCGCATGTTGCAAAGGCCTTTCCCATACTTGTTTCAATCAATTACTGTTTGGAACATGGAAAATGTTGCTTCCTTAGCCATTTATTATTATATAAATTTGCACAAGAATTAAATACCCTGAATGTTTGAGTTTCTGACAGCCCATTTTCAGAATGCTTTTGGATTATTTAACTGTCTTTTTTCGAAGGTTTTTGCATCCTTTGCATCATAGGAGACAAATACATGGCAAGCAAGTGACCAAATAATGAGCAGTTAAGTGAATGTTAGGTGCATTTTCCAAGGAAGAAAGCAAGACACAGATTAAAAACCTTGTTCTATGGTTACAGACAGGGCATGCCTTGATTAGATTTCAGATGGAGATATTTACAAAATTTCTTTGTGAAATAAGCTTCCATTCATGTTGTCTTGATATGTGAAGTATAAAATCTTTAGCAATATATCAGGCCAGATGGTGTTAAGACTTCACCTACTGGAAACTTCTCCCTCCTGAATTGATTGCTTGGGTTTTTTCTATGTTACCTGGAGAATGACATCCACGTCATGACTTTTTCCAGTTGTTTATGTAGGCCCTACAACCTCACTAAACTATTGGTTTACGTCTAAATGAGTTGGTGCAATGGAGCATCTGCTTTGATTTCCTGTGAAATCAGGATGAGGATTAAGTGATACCATCTATATACTGTATATGTTGTACTAAGCATGTGGTTTTTTTTGACAAACCTAGCTGAGCTAGCCTTTAGTTAGTGTGTGGCAAATGCATATCATTAAGAAAATGATGACCTTACAGTGTGCATGCACACAATGTCAATCACTAGGTGGAGCTCATTTAAGGGTTAAGAAGTTTAATTATAGAAATATTCAAGGAATCTGTCAGTAAATGTGCATCACATTGAAAGTTATTTACTGTCAGCTTGGTATGGAGTCTATTACAATAAACCAAAGCTGGTCTGTTTTGCACGATAGCAGATTCCTCCATGCAGTGCGAACTTCTGAGTATTATGAGAGTATGCACAAATCTAACCCATATCAAGATGGATTTGCTGGCTCCTTGTTAATGTTTCTTGACCACCTTTAATTAATATGTAGATGTTTATCATTGGTAAATAGAACCTGAGAATTCTGCTGTGTTCAACAAATTAGGATGAATAAAACAGTATTTTAGAATCCACATTTATACAGGATTTCATTGCGATAAACCACAGTAAGGAAACTGGATCTATAAAATTGTAATGGAGTCTATTTTATCTGGTCACCATGGATGAGTTGGACTGAAGAGTCTGTTTCCTTGCTGTATAAGTCTACCCTAAATTATTTTTATCTTAAAACAGAATTAAAGTAGACTTCACAATGTATGGATAATATCAGCTCACCACCACCCCCTCAAGGGCATCTAGGGACCAGCAATATATGCTGACCAGCTGGCGACACCCACATCCCACAAATGAATAAAAATAAATGTCAAAGGTGCCAAGTTTTTTAAGGGAGTATCACTTGAGACCCAAAAAAACACTTCATCTGTAGCAAATTTGTCTTTTGGATTTTCATGTACTTTTAGTTTATTTCTGTAGTATACCTGGAAATCCATTACCTTTACATGAAGCTTAACCCAAGGTAAGCTTGTATCCATGCAACTTTTCATGTAACTATGGCCATGATTTTGCGAATTCAACAACATTGAATGAACGCAGCAGGCCAGGCAGCATCAGAGGAGCAGGAAAGCTAACGTTTCGGGCCTGGACCCTTCTTCAGAAATAGCAGAGGGGAAGGAGGCTCTGAAATAAATAGAGGGAGGGGGAGGCGATGATAGAGGTGGATAGAGGAGCAGATAGGTCAAGGAGGTGGGGATGAAGCCAGTACAGGTGAGTGTAGGTAGGAAGTGGGGGTGGGGGTTGGTCAGTGAGGTGGGAGGAACGGATAGGTGGGAGACAAGACGGACAGGTTAAGGAGGTGGGGACGAGATAGGCTGGTGTTGGGATGAGGTTGGGGGTGGGGAGATTTTGAAGCTTGTAAAGTCCAAATTGAGACCATTGGGCTGCAGGGTTCCCAGGCGGAATAGGAGGTGCTGTTCCTCCAGCCTTCGGGTGGTGTCGTGGCAATGGAGGAGGCCCAGGATGGACATGTTGTCCAAGGAGTGGGAGGGGCAGTTGAAGTGGTTCGCGACTGGGAGGTGGTGTTGTTTGTCGTGAACCGAGTGTAGGCGCTCCAAAAAGCGGTCCCCAAGCCTTCGCTTGGTTTCCCCGTTGTAGAGAAGGCCATATCGGGAACAGCGGATACAATATACCACATTAAACAGATGTTCACCTGCACATCCGCTAATGTGGAAGGTTTTCTTGGGCCTGGGATAGAGGTGGGGTGGGGTAGGTGTAGGGGCAGGTGTAGCACCTCTTGTGGTTGCAGGGAAAAGTGCCAGGGGTGGTGGGGCTAGCGGGGAGTGTGGAGCGGATGAGGGTGTCGCGGAGAGAGCGGCCCTTCTGGAAAGCAGATAAGGGTGGGGAGGAAAATATATCCTTGGTAGGGTGGGGTCAGATTGCAGGTGGCGGAAGTGGTGGAAAATGATGCATTGAATCCGGAGGTTGATGGGCTGATACGTGAGGACGAGGGGGATTCTGTCTTTGTTTTTATTATGGGGAGGGGGTGTGAGGGCTGAGGTACGGGAAACGTGAGAGATGCGGTTGAGGGCATTTTCGACCACTATGGAGGGGAAATTGCGGTCCTTGAAAAACGAGCTTGTTAAGCATTTAAAAGGAAATCTCTTGAAGCTTTATTTCTTAAAAACTCTAAAATACAAGCCTTGAGAATAAGAGGTACTATTTTCAGTGTCTCAAGGCGCAGACAACACTGCTACCTCAGAAGCTGAGGATTTGGAGATTCTCCACTTGTTGCAGGATGTACTTTGAAGTAAGATTGCTGCATTTAGGGCTGAAGATCACTCGAGAAAGCAAAAGCTGCACGGATTAACTCAGCTGAGTTAATGATATCACTGGGTCCCTCATAACTCACTGAGAGTCAAGAGGTTTACTGATATTGGAGTAAAACAAAGGTGAGTGTACTTTTCATTTGTGCCTTAATTGCTTGTAGGGTCATCAGCCATGTAATAAATACTATTTCAAGAACTGTGCACAATTGTCCTTTTGCATGAAACTTTAATTTTACTCAAATTCAGCTGTTGATAGATTTCTGCATGTCATGTTTCCTTTCAAATCCTTAACAATGGTATAAATTGATTAGGTAGCTTCTCCCAAAAGAAGATAATCTAATTCAGAGATAGTAGGAACTGCAGATGCTGGAGAATCTGAGATAACAAGGTGTAGAGCTGGATGAACACAGCAGGCCGAGCAGGAAAGCTGACGTTTCAGAAGGGTCTAGGCCCGAAACATCAGCTTTCCTGCTCTTCTGATGCTGCTTGGCCTGTGTTCATCCAGCTCTACACCTTGTTACCTAATCTAATAACATTTTTCCATCATGTTTAATATTTGTTGCGTTGTCTTCTGGCTTAGCTTCAGAAACTTGCATCATTGGTTCTGCATTGATGAAATTTTCAGCTACTTTTAATAAACTGAGTAAATAGTGTTATGAAGTCAAAGTAAACAATGAAGATACACTGAGCTAGTAGTAACTGCTGAGGTGCTGTTCCTCATATTCCACTTGGGAACCCTGCAGCCCAATGGTATCAATGTGGACTTCACAAACTTCAAGATCTCCCCTCCCCATACCGCATCCCAAAACCAGCCCAGCTCGTCCCCGCCTCCCTAACCTGTCCTTCCTCCCACCTCAAGCCCCACCCCCATCTCCTACCTACTAACCTCATCCCGCCCCTTGACCTGTCCGTCCTCCTTGGACTGACCTATCCCCTCCCTGCCTCCCCACCTACACTCCCCTTTACTGGCTCCATCCCCGCCTCTGTGACCTGTCTGTCTCCTCTCCACCTATCTTCTCCTCTATCCATCTTCTATCAGCCTCCCCCCCATTTATTTCAGAACCCCCTTCCCCTTCCCCATTTCTGAAGAAGGGTCTAGACCCGAAACGTCAGCATTCCTGCTCCTCTGATGCTGCTTGGCCTGCTGTGTTCATCCAGCTCTCTACACCTTGTTATCTAAGATACACTGAGCCATAGGTTGAAATGAAAATGTGTATCATGTGCATGTTTAGTTGTTCCATGTCGAAAGAAAACAACAGCGACATCTTGTGGTTAGATGTGGAACATCTTGGGTTTGACATTTCTTAAAATATAGTATTTGAATTATATTTGCATCACTGAGAATGTGTAATGTTTTTTCCTTAAATTTTAATAAAGTTTGGAATTTGAATAGTAATTCATTATTTTCTAATTTTGACAATATGTAAAATTACAATGGAAAACCTGACTAAAGCTGAAATTGTATTTATATTTGAATACAACATTACAGGATATTTTGAGGTTTGCCATTTTTAATATCCATTGATAGTGATACCTAAAGTGGTCTATTCCAACCCATTCAAAATTGGTAAAGCAATGAACATTGCACAGTATGGCACCATTATAAACTGTAGGATCTGTATCCGTTACGTAGTATTACATTTTTTTGATAAAAAGTCTTTCCAAATGACTTCTGGAAGTGAGGCAAAACACTCATTGGAGTAGTTACCCCTGTGTATCAGGTGTATTGTCACTTAACCTGAGTCTTTTTTAAGGTCCTAATTTTTGTTTTAACTCAGGAAGTGTTGATCAAATCTTAATTATAAAATATTAAATTCTTACTGCTAGCCGGACTGAAGGATTATTTGAGAATGTATGGATTTGTATAATCATAGGTTGTGACGTAAAGAAACTATTATTGAAATACCTCAAGCAGCTTCTTACTGTACTTCCAACAAACTCTGTAACCATTTGAGTTATGAATTTAAGAATGCACAGGCTGAAGAATTGTACTTCTAATAACTTTTACTGA